GACAATATTTGATAAGTTTCAATTATTTAAAAACAGAGTTAAGATTAAGTGTATAACGCTGCAATGGCTATCCTTTTGCTTTGTACAAGAATAGCAAGTGAACCATCTCTCCAGCCTAATAAAAAAATTACAAGAATTACTCCATACTTATTTTAGGGTTGGTAGGAATAGGTGACAAACAGAGTTTTAAAGGCAATGATACATTTCTGTGAAAAGCTATCATGACAGAGTGATGACATATTATAACATTATGTTGCACTGAGCTTTCAGGTCAACTTCAGACTGTATTAATAGCAATGCATTGGCAGTGGCTGAATGGAAGAGAGATGGCTCAGAGGCTAAAGTCCTTGCTAGGCAAGTATGAGGTCTAGAGTTTGCATCTTCCACTTGTGAGTGAGTGTCGAGTAGGCATGGTAGTGCACCCATATTCCCAGTGGAAGGCAGTGACAGAGGAATGTCCACAACGAGCTGCCTAGCTAGATGATAAGTGGATTTTGGTGTGATAGGCTCATCAACAGACCTTGCCCTAGAAATCAAAGCGAAGAGCAATGGAAGAACACACCCAGTGTCACCCTCTGGCCTCCACACACATGAGTGCACGCCCACACATGCGACTCCAGATTGGCAGGCAAAGGTTGCATTCACATCACTTTTACATGGACACACAGATAGGTTAATACTACAAGATACCGATAACGGAATCAGCCTAGGTACAACGTGCTATTTGTTCAATCTGTTAAGTCAAAAAACGATTCCAAAAACTAAGCTTATTGATTGGAAACAAGTTGAGTAAAAGTAAAAACCCAGTACAGATCTTCCTATATGATAAGGACTTGAAATAGCCAAGATGCTTCTTTTATTCATCATGCCAAGTTCTGATAGGCCTAGGGAATATGCTAAACTATAGATGCGGTAGGGGGAGAAAGACGAGAAGGAGGTAGAGACAGGGAGGGAGAAGGGGGAATGGAGACATTTTACAATCTTTTAAGGGAATATCCTTTTGTTAACTTTGGATTACAATGCCTTGAATAGGTCATCAAGGTTCCATATCCTGGTGGCCGTTCGCTCCACCAGGAGATTTACCAATCTGTAAGTCTCAACCCAACTGTCTCCTTTCCAATGTACTCTAAGTGGAAAATGCCATTGGCCTTCCACAACCTTAACTTATGCTTGGATCTCTTCCATCTTTGAGTCATATTCTAGTGTTTCTGACCATTAAAATGAGTGTTTCAGTAAGGCTGGAACAGTCTTATTAACCAAAGCCAAGCTTTATATGGCTTGTGCACTTTAAGAGGTTAATATACCCTGCCAGCTTGCTTTGTTCAGAAGTATTAAGTGGAAAGATTATAACATTCAAAGAAAGGCAAAGTTCACTGGGTAAGACCTCGATAATATAATAGAGTATAAAACCTCTAGAATTTTTTGTCATAATATTTTATGAAACATATGTGCATACTCACTGGAACAGCATCCAAATTAAATGGTTTGGAAGGTCAGTTCAAAGTCAGTCTGCATGCAATGTCTCTGTGAGAAATATGCAATCCTTTGAAAGTGCCAAGCCCTAGAAGCTTCCTACTTATTATCAATCCCACGGTGTGCTGTGGAAGGAGGGAAACTAGTTCTATAGCAACAACGCTTTCTCAGCCAAGGTACATTCCAAATGCCCCCATAGGCCAACTTTTGCGTTATGGAACAAAGAAACTGTAGTGAGAGGGATACTTTAAGTATGGGCAAAAATGTGTTAGTCCCAACTTCAAAGCCAGCTATGCACAGGGATTCATTTAAGGATTAAAAAAAATACTAACTCTTCAGAGATTGCTCAATGGTTAAGACCATTGGCTGGTCCTTCAGAGGACCCAGGTTCAATTCCCAGCATCCACAGGACAGCTCATAGTCGTCTGTAACTTCAGTCCAAAGTGTCTGACACCCTCACACAGATACACATGCAGACAAAACACCAATGCACATAAAATTTAAAAAAAAGTATTTTTTAAAAGAAAGTACATGGGCCTTAATAGCTGAAACAGACTAGGGGACAGCTCTGGACCTTCCAAGAGGAGGGAATACAGGGCCCACTTTGCATGGGAAAGTTCAGATCCGGTGGGCATCTAAGACTTCTATAGCTGCCTGTTCCTGGGTTGTCCATGTCTGAAGACAGGGGTGTCCAGAAAGCTCTGAGAGCTTCCAAATTGTGCTCACTGCTGAAGGGACATCCCTGGGCCTACCTTAATCTATTTAAAGCCACTAAGAATTTTCTTACGCTAGTTCCAGTTTTATTCCCTGAACCTTACTAATAAATACAAGTAATTCAACAAATGGCCGGGATGAAAGAAAATAATATGTAGTATTACATGCAGCTCGAAAAACAGAATTGACTCATTTAAAAAACTCCTTTAAGTCTAAGGATAACATCCAAGTAGACAGCACAAGTTGAAAATCTGGCTGCAGTGGCAAAGCTTGACTCTTTGTTAGCTGTCTGTTAATTCTCCTGAATAATCTACAAAGCGATACTCCAGCTTCAGGTCAATGTGATGAAACTTTAGCTTACAAAAATTACCTTAAGCACTTTCCCCAATCACCACCTACATTTTATCATGATAAAATTTTATGGTTTACATCTCTCAAACTGACAGTTTAGTCAGTAGAATATAATAAATGTTGACACGCTAGTCATTAATTGAAATATCATTGAAAATTTTCAGTGATGTATGACAAAGTTAAGTTTTAGTTTTCTCACAATACAATTGGAATATACCAAATGGATAATTTTGCCTATTTGTAATTAATCAGGAGCATCTCTAAGCACTGTTGTGTATAGAAAACATACAAACTTTATCACATCACACTTTTCTCAGTCAGACAATGGGAGCTGAACAAGGAGAATTCAGAAACCCTAGAGTGATATCAAAGCATTAGCAGCTGCTATTGCTACAATGTTTGAAAATGTTTGACTTTGTACATCAGCAGCCTGATACTTCATAAATATCAGATTTTCAGCAGAAAATGAACACATCAAATATTGGGCAACTATGGAAAATGTACCATTAGACATTCCATGGATTTTCACATGCGATATATACCACCTAAAGAGGCAGAGGAAACCTATTACATATGTGCCCAGATCCAGGCCAACGTACATAACTTGCATCCTGAATGTGACTGTCTTATGTATTGAGAATCTCAATGAGAATAAATTAACAGTTTGCTATTGATTCATTTCATGGGAAAAACTAAACTGTTCTCATGGACAGAGCAGGACTGAAATACAGCTTTTAGTACTCACTAGTTTATTTTTTTTAAACAAGATTGTCTTGTAGATGCTTGCGTACCCTCTCTGGAGGGCACTATCAGCTCTAGGCCAGTGTGCAGTTGTCTCCGTACTCTGAGGACAGAAGTCGGTGGAACATATCACTTTTAGGAGCCAGCCTCTGTGTTCTTTCCTTCTCCTGATTTTGTGGGCTGTTTCACAACAGTTCCCTCCGTAACTACAGGAATGGCCGCAGAGTTTTTGTCAATGGTTGCTACACATGCCACTAAATAGTAAGGCTGTCATCCTCACATCCTTTATGAATCAATTTTCAGAAACTAAATCCCAATGTTTAGAATACATGATGCCTTGCTCTTTATTCCCTCCCTTTGCCCTAGAGAACTTTACTTAAAAGAAAGATCACAAAATATGTGAGTAGCAATGTAAGATTCAGATGTAATACATGAAGCTCAGCTTGTTGTCCCTTGATTTTACATCCTACTGTATGTAACATCCCAGAAATGCAAACATCTCTAGGCTATAAAAATAAAAAGGCACTGAGTGTCTTGGGAACGTAAGCATCCTTGCCCTGCTTTTGGGACCATATATGGTAGATGAGGGATAATAAATTCTTATTCACTGTTGATTGTACTTTTAAATCTTCATTATGCCACAGGTAAATTATCTGATAGAAATTAGCTTCAGCATGTGTATGTATAATCTACATCCATTTTAATTACTCCAAATTGCTTTGAAAAATGAATGTAATTATTTGAAATCACCACTGTGGATTTAATACACAAATTACAGAGATATAATCCTTTGACAAGACCTGAGTAAAATACAATAGATTCAACTATCTATGAATACCTGTATGGAAATTGTGAATGTAAAACATTTTAAATCTTTTGAAAAGTTGCAGTTTCTAAATGTTGAGAGCTTAAGAACAGAGTGTACACAAATCTTGCTATTTAAACATATTGATTATAGCGGGAAGAGCATATACCCATTAAATATCACTTGTCAGTGACATTCAAAGGCACAGAAGATGGGAAAAGAAATATGCATGATTCAGAGAGATGATACTGTCCATTAAATTCCAAATAAAACTTCACTATGACACTCACACAAACACATTTTACTGCAAGTTCCTATGAGTGTAGTTGTATGTCCTCATATGGGAGATTAATAGGGACATATTTTTATTGAGGTCAGTAGTCTGGAGTTTGATAAACTAACTTACTCAGAAGAAAGCATTGGCTAAACTGATATTCAATATATCAATATTAAAATTTAAAGTTAAAACATTCTGAACATAATATCCTTATTAGACATGTTTAAGTAAATGGTTCAAGAAAAGGAGACAACAGGAAATAGAGGATAGTGCTGTTTTTTTTTAAATGAGCAAAAGTTATATTTTTCTGAAGAATATCACCACTATGTTCTTTTATTCTGACATTTATTGCTAACTAAAATAAGGTAAACTTTTCAACCTTAAAAAGGTACCTTAATTACATACTGAATGGACTCATGCAGAAATAAGGAAGAGAAAAGAATCATGCATCTGTGTGCCTCTGTATAATTGCAACAGTTCATGTATGCATGAGCTTGTGGGCATGTTTGTTTCAATAAGCTTGAGTACAGGGTGTACTGCCTACACTTCAAATTCTTTAATTCTTATCTAGAAGGGAGGAAAACAAAAGGAAGGTGTGTCATTGAAGAAGTCAGTGTTGTCCTTGCTTTGCCAACTTACCAGTTTTTCTCAAGGGGAAATCGTCCTTGGCATCTTGGGCTCCTGGTAATGTGTACTTGTAGGATGGAGACGTTCCACTAAGAGGTGGAGAGCTTTGATCCAGCGATGTGTGGTGAGCAGCCCTACAAAGCACAAAGAGGGTTCACACTGATGCCGGATTTCCGTGCACATTAGTCAGGAGCAGTCAGCGGCACGTGCGTCCACATGCTTTAGCTGTGTTTATGTCCTTCCTCCTTTGAGCATACAGACCACAGCCTCACGTGCCCACACTCACTGCAGCAAAACAGGGAATGGTGCAGGTTTCCTAGCAATGCTACCTGTGCTTTGTCATTCAGTTACATGGGCTATTTCTCTTTGTTAGAAGAACTGAGATTTTCACACAAAGACAAACAAAAAAACAGCTGCAATATGAATCCTTTGGAATCACCATTACAGAACTACCATGGTGGAAGTGCTCATGTCCAAAGACCTCATTACTGCCAGCTAGTGTAGCCGAGTGCATGAGCAGGGGCTGTGTGCTGAACAGACTACATTGCTCAGAGCCTCAGAGGCCTGGCTCCACAGGCATTCTTAACGTGTGAAATAGAAAGCACATTCCTCTTCAGCAGGAAACTGACTTTTTAAGAGATTTTCTCTTTCTTGAATAAATGCATTGAAAAATAAGCATTCGTGCTCGTGAGGAAGAATTCAGAGGACTGAGCTCAGACTATGCAGTGTATGGTGCATTGCAATTACCATATATAACAAAGAGAACGCTCGAGTCATGGGCATTACCACACTGACTGCTCCACCACAAGTCTTCATGTGAAAAATACATCCTCAACTATTAACTCTCTTAAGGTCATTTCACATACTTCTAACGGGTAAAAAGCATCATTCTACAGAGACAGAATCTGATTCTTTGAGAAGTGAAGGAAATTTCCCAGAGCTACATAGCTAATTCCTAAAATTAATAATTTATGGCTGGGTAGAATTATATCCTATATAAACAAGAAAAGATCACTACTGACATGAGGAGCCACACCTAATATACTTAATGGGAACAGCTGGGGGATTTTTAGCAGATAAATTATTTCCTAATAGTTGTTTCTCATTAGAAAATTGCTGTTTTTTCTTAAAATGCATTAACTTTGAAAGTATTATGAATCAGTCACATACTATGAAGACAATTTTAGGTAACAAAATTAAATTTTTTTCAGATTATTTTGTGATACTGGTTTCTCAGGTCAACTGATACACACAAGGGACACAATTGTTTAAATGTCTAAGATGTTCTGGAATCTGCCTGTTACTTCAGTTTTGTATAAACAGGAGGCTAAGATACCTATTAACAGACTTTGAAATATAGTAACTCTTCTGCTGAACTCTCAGAATGCTTCTGAATTCTGTAAAATAATTAGTATATACTTCCTGTTATTGATGTGATGGATTGAAAAATATGCCACATAAAGTCTTAAGGCCATTCAACAAACACATTTATGAGAGAATTGAATGCATTATCTACTAGCCTAGTGTCATATGTGATTTATATATCTAGTCTTCAGAAAAAAAGTCATTACTATCTGACAGAGAAAAGAATTTTATTTTATGTAACATCTCTGCTGGACTTGGGGAACATTGTTCCATGAAAGCTCCTGGAGTACCATGGATCTTGACAGTTTGTATCTCAGAAGGGAAAGCATGATTGCACTGGGTAGAAGGAAGTGAGGTGCAGTGGGCGGGCCTGAAGAGGTCACTAAAGACTCAGGTTTGTTTACTTATCTGTCCTTCACTTTTCCATGCTCCTTTTGAAAAGACCCAAAGTCATCTGAATTTCTCAAAATAGCCCTGGTTTCCAGCTTATATTAAGCCAAGTGAAACAAAACTAAGCCACAATCTGCCAAACGTTCACAAATTCTGCACGGGTATCAGAGGATCTATCTGGGGATTCAACACCACCTCTGGGTTACATCCAGATGCCGGCTCCCCACTCAGCAGAGGGTGAAGCACTCCCTGCCCTTACAGTGATAAACGCTAATGCTAATTGGCCGCTGCTCCCTCCTATGTACTTTGTTCCATTTTTCCCCACTCAGGACCTTCCCAGCAACTCTAGAGTCACGTGCTGTTGAGGTCCTTTTTGTAGAGAAAAAAGAGCTGACCCTTAGAAATGTCCAGGAACGTGTCAGCAGCCATGCAATTCTGAGAAGGGGCAAGCGCAGGATTTCTGCCCAGTTCAGCCGAAGATAGAAGCTATGGGTGAAAACAGTTAAACACAGAACATACGTGTACCAGAGCTTGGGATGGCGGCTCACGGAATGATTCTTTCCACTGCTCGGAGTGTCCTTCGTGGCTGATTTACTCAACAGGAATTCTTGAAGCTTCTGCTTTACCTCTGTGCTTGCCGCCGCCCCTGAAACACACACAGGGAAGCAGAGGCTGCCTATGGGTTACTTCCTCTCCGCACTCCAGAGTAAACAGGGCTATGGAGAAACAGCCCTGGCCACAGCGTAGGAAGCTTTCCTATTAAAAGAAAAACCAGAATCTCCATAGCTTTAGTATACGGCAGAGCCCTGACTGGTAACTGTTACTTAAGTTACAAACTTTCAAAATCCCTCCAATGAGAGCATTTTTACAGGAATGGGATTTGTCTTTAAGTTTAAAAAGAAAATTACTGAGGGTTGGGGCCACAGTTAATGGTACCATGCTTTCTAGTATTTGTGAGACCCTATGCTCAATCCCCAGTACCGCCAAAAATAAATAAATAAATAGGAATAAAATTATGATTTTCAATTTTATTTCTTTTTAAATCAGGAATCTTGGGGAATGTTGCAGATCACAACACATTAAAATGATCTTTTCTGAGTTTCTGGTTAAAAAATTCAACATTGTTTTAAAATTCATTTGATTATTCAGCAAATAAATTCTGTTGATAATTTCAGTTCAACTCACCACATGTAAACTTTGCAACACCCTGACTGAGTTTGAACTGACTGGATAAAGGGCAATTATTTGGATCTGTCTCCCTCTTGTGGACCATTGCTTTGCAAATGTTGTGCCTTGTGTCTAAGTACAACAAAAGGGAACAGAGGCCTGTTATGACGTTCAGAACTGTTTGTGCAGGAAGATGGAAGAAATGAAAGCATTAGACATGGCTTTGTTGCTGAACAGGGAGTCTGACATCTGATCACGTCAGTGTGACTGTATTTTCAGAGTCCAAAGGACCAGGCTCCGTTTTTGGCAATGCTGTGTTTATTTCTCATGCTCTGCAGAGCCACTAGGAAAGGGCGCTGTAGTCTATATTCTTCTTACTAGACAGGGACAGTTTGGACAGGCTTTTTCCCATTATTTATCGGTGCCTTGCATTTGAGAAGAGAGTGCGTGTGTTACCCTGGTGCCTCTTACTTTCCCGTCCTCTGTCTTTGCCTCTGAGAGGAGGAAGCTGCTGCTCTCTGCGGTGCCTCTCTACTTCCTGGTCTTGCCTCTGCTGCTCCAGTTTCTGCTCCTTTTCTAGGAGTTCTTGCTGTTGTTTTATGGCTAGAAGTTCCTGTTGCAACTTGCGAGAAGAGAAAGACATGAGAGTGGGCAATTTCTTTATGTTTCAGAGTCATCACTCGCTGTCCCAAATTGCAATGATATCAACTTCTGAAACTCAGTAGCATTTAGCTTGTGCTTCAACCACCTTATGATTGAAATACTAAAGTCAGGATGACTTTGACATCCACAACAAGCCCACTTTTAGATAACCCCATTACTTGTGGATACCTTTCAAAAATTATTACCAAATCCACTCATTTGAATGCTGCTGGCTTGAACTTTTAGTTCCGTTCCCTGTGTGCCTACAAAATATAGGAACACACAAAGGCAGAGATGGCCCAGATGTCTATTTCGCAAAGTCTCTCACATTCCAAGCAACCAGTTCTTACCCTGAGATACAGTATAAAACTAACGTGTGTAGGACTGCAGGGTGAGTTAATCTGGGGAAAGCCTGCCTGAAGCGGCACATACACCAAGGCTTCACCCCTTCACAGGGACAGTTGTTGTTAGAGTTATATAATCCACACACCCATACATTTCTGAAGATGATAACAGAAAGTTCCGGACTGTCATCTAACACATGAAAATGTCTAGATTAGAGACATAGCTCCAAATAAAATCACTTCATCAAACTACTTCCACGCACTGGCATCTGGTTTTCCAAACCCTCTGCATTTCTGTCAAACCATGCATAACTAAAATATGGGGTTATTTGTTATGGAGTTTTAAGATATCAGACTGAGAAAGACGTGTATCTGAAGAAAAGCAAATGTACCCACTGAAGAACAAAAGACTCTGTGTCGTGCATAGTCTCTGACATGACCAGGTATGACACCTGACAGGATACTAAAGCTACTCAGAACCTCAGCTCACTATAAGTAAGGAAATGGACTCTCTCACAGGTCATGCACATAATTTATAAGAAATTTAGTTTTTAGCTTTCAATGATACTAACCAAAGCATAATTTATCATTTTGAATATTAGGTATCTAGAAACCTGTGTTTCATAGCAAATAACGGAACAAAACTTAAAAGATCTGTGGAATGTTATCAGGGCCTTCTTGTTGTTTCTTTGGATCAACATGAAGGTGACATGTTATGCTCAGTGTGACAGCCTTAACTAACCTAAAGCATATGGACATGAGTATTTCTATTTATTTTCCATATTACATCTTAAAATCTTTGTGCCTTGTATTTTATATACCAACCGCTTAATTGATGTTTTCTAATATAGCACTGTTACTTAGGAACCCATAGTTATGTTTAAATTCTGTTTCAATGTCAATTTTAGATCGCTATTAAGACTGGTCAGATTGATTCAATACTTTATCCAAAGCTTCGATGCAACTGAACTATATAACTCCTTCTAGGAATGGAAAAGCACATATATTTATTGCCATGGTCCCAACTTACAACAAAGATGATAGGAATGGGGTCTGTTTAAAATTTTTTTAAATAACATGTTTATTTCCAACCATGTGAGCCCGAATGAGCCATGGTGTTTTAGGAGCTTTTGGGGGCAGAGAAGACAACACAATTTTGAGCTCTGCATTCTAGCTATATTCTATGTGACTTTGCAATGTTATACCATTTCTGTCTACCTCACTTGACTAGGTAGTACCTGGGAGACTAGAATAGAAGGCAACAGGTGCCAAGTGCTTAGGAGAAGAGCCTGAGTTCAAAAGTCAATGCCCTTTAAGCATGGGTACTCTCTTCCATATGCAAATAAATCTACATGAATGTTAACAGCATTAGCATTTAGACCTACCCAGAAGACAGTAACAAAGCAAAATAAAAAGTTTAAAGAAGTATGAAACTTCCTAATCTTAAAGGGAAGATGTAAAAACGTCTTCAGCATCCACAAAATAATGCTACAGTTCCCGTTTAGCCCTCTCATGATTCTTACTTTCTCAAGTGCCTCTTTTCCAACCCTTTCCAGATGTCAATCAACCTGACATATCGTTTTTTTCTGTGGCACAGAAGCAATTACCCACTTGTTACTCTTAGGTTCTGAGTGGTCAAATGATAAATTACTCACAATTGACTTTAACAGTAACAATGGCACCAAACATTAATAAAAAGAAGAAATCTAAAAGCAAATGATGCAAGTAGCTTATCAGCATGGTTTGATACTCAGGGAAAAGGACTCAAACACAAAAGACAATGAACTATATAGTTACTCAGCTCTTGAAGAAAGGTGATGAGTGTAAGTCTTACTCATGCCTCATTGCCCTGTTAACATGCCTGGAAGGACTGAAGAGTGCAATCTAGCCATCAATACTTCTGTTCTAAAGGTCAAACTGAAATAACACTTTGGCATTTATTCAAAATTAAATGGACAAACTAAGTGTAGGTGACTCACATTTAAAATACAGCCATGAGATAGAGATTTCACTGGGGACACACGCACAAAATCCTTCATTCTTATTTTTAAGGTATTTTATATAGCAATAATGTGAAAGTCTTTAGAAAAGTTCACTAGTAAAGGAAAGATATTATATTTTACATTAGGCATTGAAGGACCTTTTATGCAAATAATATATCTTGCAGAACAAGGAAAACTGGGAAGAAAATAGCATTTTCATCTTCTTAGATATTTGTTTAGTGCTATAACTTAGTTATCTATATTAATACCACATTCATGTATTTATTTGTACTCGGTATACAAGAGATAACATGCCCAGAGTACAGTATAGTAAAATATGACAAGATTATTACCTTTAAGTCTCCTTTGAAGGAGTTGATTATAAAAATTTTTATTGTAAATATTTTGTGATTTACTTTTAAATTTAAACTAAATGTCTATTTTATTGAAACAAAACTTCCTTGTGCTTCTTTCAATTTTAAAACATGGGCCCATTTTGCAGCCCAGGTTATTTCCAAATTTTAGATCCTGCCTTCTCCAGTTCCTGAGTTTTGAGATTAGAGCCATGGGCCACCACCCCCTGCAAGATCCCCGTTGGTAAATGCCTTTGCCAATAATTAAAACACACACTCAAAAAACAATAAAGTGATATTTTTCAGAGACTATACTGAAGAAGAAAAGAACAATTTCCCTCAATCACCAGATGTCAGTATAAATTCTGAACTATTGTTATACTTCCCCTGACACATTGAAACATTTACCTAATTTTTCATATAAAAATCCCTTCAACTTTTCATTGTATTTTTTCATTATATGTCATATAGTATCTTTTCTACAAGGAAGAATTTATTTTAACCTAGGTTGAGTGCAAAACAAACAACAGAAGAGGGCTGTTTCTATTCACAAGATGATTTTACCCTTCCTGATAAGTGGTGCACACTGATTCCTTAGCAGCATAACTTGGGACCTTCCAGGCTCGTGGTTCTTGGTGGAACACACAGGAGAGAGTACCCATGAGAATGGGAAGTGCCTGTCACTCCCAGTGAGTCTATGAGTAAAGGGGAATAGTGGTAGAGCTCTGCCAACAACAAAGCCAAGTGCTTACCAGGTACTTACCCAAGTTTCCAACTAGTCCAATCACAATTTCCCTCAAGCCACACATCCGTGCCTTAATCACAGTGAACATCCCCCTCAGTGCTCCCAGGGGTTGGACCCTGTCAGCGCTCCCATGTGTTGGTGCCCGTCAGTGCTCCCAGGGGTGGTCTCATGCCCACATTGTGGTGCAGATGCCCTGATTGAGAAGGTCAGAGATAAAGACACATTTGCTACCTTGATGTGCTCCTGAAGTTGAGCCTGATGCTGCCGGGTCAGGTTCTCATGCTGCTTCTGAAACTCCGCTATCAGGAGCTGCTTCTGGATGTGCTGCTGCTGTTGGATAAGAAGCAGCTCTTGCTGCAGCTGCTTCTCACGCACCACAGGATCCACCACGGGCATCATCATCCTCAGGTCTGTCCTTAGGTCTAAAGGTGAGATGGGCTCCAGGCCCATCGGAACCTCGGACTTCACATCCACTGGAGACACAGGGAAGAAGACAGAATGGGGGATGAGGTTTGGAAACCAGCATGCCGATGTTCAAACATGCCAAGAACAAAGAACACTGCAACTTCCCCAGCACTTGTAGGCGTATGCATAAAGGAATGGGCACAATTACGACTTGATACTGAAGGCAAATGTGTTTTGTACATAAGTTTTGGTTAAAGGGTCCATGGGTTAATTATCACTCAGTAGTGTGTATACCTCTCTGAATCTTTCCACAATTGTCTGTTTTGAAACAGATGGATTCAATTAGTAGTATCAAAAATCATTCATAAACTTTATTGGACAGGACCACTTAACCAACGTAAGTCACTGAAGACCAAGAAATGCAAGATGAAAAAAGATGTCATACAAAAAGGGAACTTCTGTCGCAAGTCAATTCGTGGACTTAAAAAAAGTTTTATGTTCAAGGAGAGAAGAGAGTTCTACCTTAAGTTAAGCGTGCAATGCAATACATCTGCATCTCCGTCACGCCTAGGTTAGAAATGGGGAAAACATACATCTAAATTTGGATAATGGTGATTTAACAACTGGCCACGCCCACACAGGAAGAAAGTGAGAGCCTCCAAGTGCCTCAGTACTGGTTTTTAAATAGTAATCATTTAAATTGTGGAAACCTCATTCTTAAACAGGAGAGGAAGAATCATGAGGGAACTTCAGGTAAATATTTAATCAACCAACCAAAGGACAAAAAGACCTGATGACACAAGTATAACTATGGAAACAATATCTAAACTTGTAAAATAAAATTGTATATACAATATATGAAGTGTTTAGCATGATTTGAGTAGAAAAGCATGCTGTCCCCGAAAGAGAGTTTTAAGCAGGAAAACCACAGTCTGAGAAGCTCTCAGATGGTGGCTGTTCATGGCTAATGTCTCCTCTAGTTTGTCAGTGCCCATGCCACACGGGTGGGTAAACATTCTGAGGAATACATCTACCCTAAGGAATCAGGGAAATTTATAACTACCTGAAACAGGTCAAGTTAAAGACAATGGATCTTTTGGAAGCTGAGGCTATACCTCTTTAAAATTAGGGAACCACTACTCAGCTCTAACAACCAGCATAGACAGAAATAACTAGAAATTTTAATTGCAAAAATATTTAAAACACTTTAACTTTCTGAGAAGCCTAGGAAAATGGTTCAGTAAGTCAACCATGACGTGCAAGCTGCCGGGTTTAGCCCCTATTCTAAAACCTGATGCTTGTTACAATTCCCATGCTTGCACAGGCCTGAGAATGCTATCACCACCACCATACCTCAGTTCATTACCATTAAAGCAGAGATAATTATAGGAACAATAACTAAAGGCTCACATGAGGGCAGTCTCTCAGTCCAGCACACCCTTCAATAAAAAGTTTTGGTTTTATCTTTTCTATATATAAAAATGGAAATTTTCTGTACATTAAAATAATTCTCCAATAATGATTGGCTAGCAGATAAAAAGCAAATAAGCGACTCTTGAAATAAAAAGGTGATTTCTATAAATACTAGAAAAAAACAATTTAGCAATGAAAAGCACATTCATTGGTGAATAATGCAAACCATTAATGAAACATCACTATATAGTTACTAAGAATTGTATGTATGCACATGTGTGTATGAGCATGCATATGTATCTACCTGCATAATTCCCCATTTTATAAGGTAAGAACAGGACTGAATTATTTATTGATAGCAGTACTTCCAATTGTATAAAACTGTCAAAAATCATTCTACAACTTGAACCATGAGGCATTAAGCATTTCTATCAATTGATTTAGGTTGCCAGCTCTAGGAATAAATCAAACAGAGACAATCCTAATGAAGAAAAAACCTCAATACCATATTGCTACTTGAAGCTTCTTTTTTTGTTAACCTCATAATCACCAACTACAAGGAACACCCAAATAAACTATGCCATATCCATTTGATTAAAAAATGTAGTTATGGGCTGGGGAGAGAGATCATTTGATAAATTCTTGCCTTACAAGCATGAGGACACTAATTCAGACCTACATTTGAACAGTTGAGGATGGCGTTGCATGCCTGTAATCCTAGTACTGGGGAGGTGAAGAGAGGTAGTTCCTTGAGGCTTACTGGCCAGCCAGCCAAGACAACTTGTGAGGCCCAGGCCAGTGAGAGACACTGCAGTAACTGGGGAATAGTGCCCAAGGTTGTCCACTGGCCTCCGCAAATCTGTGCATGCGTGTGCATATGCCATCCCAGACACATAAGCATTCACACCCGTATGCTCTAAACATAAATCCATACAAAGGAAAATATTATAATTCTTAAAATCAGTAATAAACTCTTATTTATAATACAATAACCAAACTGTATGAACCTTTATGTGCTCTTAAAATATTAGACACAATTATAAATGTTGAGCCTCAGGACTTGGGAGGAAAAACGGGACAAAAATTTCAGTCATAACTACACATGTACACACCCGCACACAGAGTCATAACTACACATGTACACGCCCGCACACAGAGTCATAACTACACATGTACACGCCCGCACACAGAGTCATAACTACACATGTACACACACGCACACAGAGTCATAACTACACATGTACACACACGCACACAGAGTCATAACTACACATGAACACACCCGCACACAGAGTCATAACTACACATGCACACACCCGCACACAGAGTCATAACTACACATGCACACACCCGCACACAGAGTCATAACTACACATGTACACACCCGCACACAGAGTCATAACTACACATGCACACACCCGCACACAGAGTCATAACTACACATGTACACGCACGCACACACAGAGAGAGACAGAGACAGAGGACAGAAAGAGACTTTTCAGTCACACTAGTCCACACATTCTGATGCAAAGGATGATACAGAAGACGGTGATGGCAGTGCTCTGGGTAAGAATCTGAGTGACTCTCCTTTTCTTCAGCGTCCTTATTTCTCAAAATTACTAGAAATACTCATCAGTTCTACATGTTCTACATCTATGTGGGTTTGCAGAGCCCAGATTGAAGATTTTCCAGTTTGTATTCTATGCAGATTTATGAATTATTTTCAGGGCTTAAAGGAAAGCTCCCAGTTACCCTCTTTGGAGTCAACAAGGCCTCACATGGAAATGCTCATGAGGGCCAATCGCATACTGCACACATGTGTGAGTGCATTCATGCAGATTGGTATACATCTTGCTTTGCTACCATTGGCTGTTTTTCAATGTGTATATCAGAAGTTTGCACTATCAATACTGCATGTAACAATTTAATGATGATGGGGAAATGATTTACTAACAAACTATGGTTGGACAGACAGCAACTTCTTATGACATTACCCTTGTGACAAGTTTGAAAACAAGATGGCCAAGTAGGTCTCTTAGCTGTAATGAGAAGTGCAGAACTTCTAGTCAAGACTTTGGAGTGATGTGAGAGTTGGAACATAAACTTAAAATTTTTATGAATCCAGCCTAAAGCAATGCTGTTAACACTACACTTCATTTTCATCTTTAACAGGCCAAACTGTAGTCTTCAGTGTTTTTCATAGAAATCTTAATAAGCAAAAGTCAGCACAAAATATAAAATAATTCAAAAGACCCTTGAGATTTCTTTATTGTTCATAAAGTATAAAGTCAAACCCTTGAACTTATTCAAACAAACAAACAAGAAAAAAGATAAGGAATAAAATCCCACAGTGCTCTGAAACAGTCATAGTAAATCTCAAAGGGGAATTTGACTCCTTAACCTGCTATCCCAACAGAAATGATTGTGTCTAACTGCCTGCTTTTGTTCAGAGACTAATCACTAAATTGTGAAAAATCACCCTCAACTTACAAAAACTGCCCTTGATTATAAATAATTGCCCAAGACTGAGAAAAAACGGCAGGCAAGACCCCAGTCTTTGGTCCAATTTATCCAGCGGTGATCCACATTCCATTTGTCTAGACTAAATATAGCAGCGCTTAGACAAGAAGTCAATAGTGCTTGCAGAGAGGAGGGCAAAGCCATGACGATTTCATCCCTCGTGAAGAGGAGTGGCAACCAGCAGAGGCAGGACTCCAGCTGGTCATCTTTGGCCTGCTGGGTTCGTCCCAGCTCCCTGAACAACAGCTCATCCCTGTTTCTCACACCCATATCACTGCCCTTCTTCCTAACTTTAGTAGCCGATGTGTTGTGGGTGACAAAGGTGCTTCTTATCCCAGAAGGAATGTGGGTTTTTTCCTGACATCTTTGCTGACAGTCTAAGGAGTTTCCCAGGAACAATAAGAGAAATATAAGACCTGGGCTGAGTTTCAACAAGTGACAGTCACCTTTTTACACAGAATGTGAAAGAAAGGGCACTCTGGATAGCTGCAGTGTTGTAACCAGAAATGACCAGTCTACAAGGAAAATGTAACCATTGTTTTTAATTAGTGGATAAATAGAATTAGCTCAATGGTTAAGAGCTAGCTATTCTTCTGGAGGACCCTGGTTCAAATCCCAGCACCTCCATAATGTCTAACAACCACGTGTAGCTCCAGTTCCAGTGGCTATGACACACTCTTCTGGCCTCCACAGGTACTGCATGTGTGTGGTTCACAGATATACATTTAGGCAAATATCCATGTAAAATGATATAAACAAATACATATTTGAAATAAAGTAAATACATTCAAACATATATACATTATTTTAATTTTTCAAATGCACATGTGGAATATTTTCACACATATATTATCTATCCCTAATTATCATCTTGTAAAAACCTATTTGTTCTGTGTCCATAGGTCTGTTTCTTTGATAGTTTCTATCCTGTTAATCAATAGATGCATATTTTTCAAAATAATTTTCAGTTTCTACAGTAGTCATGAATGAGAAACCTCCCAATTCAAAACCTGAAACAAAATCCTAGATTGTGTGTTTGTCTGTGTGTGTTTGCATACATGTATGTATGTGTGTGTTTTAATAAGTACAGTTGTTTAAGCAAAATATGTATGCGTATATGTTTGGCTTAATTAAA